GGAAATGTGTGGGTGATACACGACGGGAACAGTTAGTCATCACTCTCCAGCTCGATCATGCCGTTCGAGTTATCGCGCGTGTGTCGGCAGCTGACTTGAGCAACGCTGAAACATGGTACACAGTCTGTTGCCAGCCACCAATAGCCTTGGGACAACACGATTATCCTGAGGTTTCCCCATCATGAATGTTGCACGTACGATTTCAACTCCTTGGTTCAGTTCAAGCTCATGTGTTGGGGCATTAGCAGGAACGCAGGACTCGTAGTAAATGTCCGCACGAAGGCCTCCGAATTATTATTTTTTTTAGATCAGCACATGGCAGAAATTCCCTACCACCTGTTTAGCACCGAATATCAGCAGTGGTATACATACTAAGCGTTTCAAAGCTCATATAGGCAGCATTGTACTGCATGTGGAAACATACCCAATCAAAATGCTGATCATAATGAGTGATATTCACACCACTGCTTGAAAAGGCTGTGTTTACATCATGAATACGAAACTTCCAAGGTTTGCACCATTGATTTAATCTAAATTTTAGAGCAAATGTATGGGTGTTACGGTATTCAAGCGATACAATTTGATCTACCATGCTGAGAATCAGAACAAATAGCAATTATTGACAATTATCTTTTGCAATTCATGCAGTACTATCCAGGTTCATTCTGTCAGTGGTTAAGGCGACAAAAAATTGGTATTGTGGGTTAACTAAAGACACACACCACCAAGAAGACTGAAATACAGCCGCCATCTGCCATTATGCTGGCAGGTTTCCTGGAAGAGATTCTCTTAAAGCAGGCAGTGTATTATTCGAAACAGTATCAGCAGAACATTGCTGGCACCAGAATGCCAAGATCCTAAATATCCTGAACTAGAATTTGAAAATTTTGAACAGCGCCAGCAAACTTTAAAAGGGTCTCTGTTTAGGACCAGCACACATGGGCACCATGACATCAAAGAGACTGCCAGAATTAAAGTTTTATTAAGAGGTCCACATGGTTTTACACTAAGTTACAAAGGAAAGAGAAAGAGGTCTAGAAACTATTATCATAGTTGCATGACATCCAGGATTGCGAACTCACATTCAGAGGACTTCCTGAAAATATGTTGAATTGGAAAAATTTTGCATAGAAAATATCTGCACAGAGAGTATACCTACAGTATATAGCGCAGGTAAGTTTCATGCAAATTGAAGAAGGGTCTGCTGGGAGTAGCTAGGACCAGATACTTTTTTCACAGATTACAGTAGGGCAGGGTCACTTTTTTCAGACTTTTACCACTTTGAAGACATGGCAGTGGCAGCATTTTACTGTAGTTTCCTGCAGGGCATGCTTCATGATTTTTCACACTGCAACTCGACCCTATTTCATAGTTTCAAAATAAAACCTACTCAACTTTCAACTTTTTGATAACCTTCAGACTCATGAAATTTCCCCCTCTGAAATGTTGATGTTTCTTCATTTTTTCCCCTTAATTTTTCAAATCCCAGCTGTATTCAGCAGAATCTCGGGTAGCATCGGAAATCGTCCCCAACGTACCATCCTTTAAGAATCTCTGGAATATCGGATGGTGCAAAATCGTTGTGAAGATGGTCCACGTACAGTTGACGCAAGGGGCCGCAGGCATCACTACATTAGTAAACTACCGCTGTTGATGGAAACGTTTTCAAAAAGTCGGTATCCACCTCGTCGGAAGCTCACAAGGCCAACTGTCTTTCACCTGCCTTCTCCACAAGAGCCCCGTAGCAGTAAAGCTCTTTCAGCAGAGGTGGACGACCAACGGTTGAGCGACGGAGTCCGTGCCGCCGCTCCGCCACGCCGCGATATTCGGCGGGTCGGCGATCCGCAGACCTAGACCTCGCTGATGGGTCCAGCAGGTCTTCGTAGGTTTTTCCATGGAAGCCGTAAGTGGAGTCGTAGATCCTGCTGAACGGCTTTTTCCAATGCGCGCCGATCTGCACCTTGGAGCCGGGAAGGTTCAACTCGCTGGAACGGCGGCGTTCCGTACGGTACGCCATCACTTGAGGCGCTCCAAAAAATTCGATAAGTTTTGAGTCTAGAACATAATCGCATTTTTAAATGCATCCACCAGAAGTCCGATTCAGAGGAATAAATTAGAAGCTTGCATTTCAAATTAGACTCGAAAGGGGAACCACGTTGACGAAGAAAAATGGGTTTTTACTAGCGCATAGTCCGATATTACAATGACCCTGATGACCATGAACTAAAATACACTCGAGTTATTCCTGGCGGGATTCTTTCCGTGGGAAAGCTTGAAGATTTTCAAATTTTCTTCTATTCTTTGGCACGTCATGGGATGCTCAGCCGTTTATGACATCACAACTGGAATTCGGGACTTTTGAAAAGTAACGTGAGCCTTGAGAGGTATGCAATGTTCTTACGAATACTGTGGTAAAAAGCATTCGCTCCATTAAAATATATTTATTTTAACTTCTATTCATTATAGCTAATGCACTAAAAATCTCTTTATATAATTTACGTGCGTGCATTTTAGACTCCCGCGCAGCTGCTTGAATCAATATTTTACAGATCTCACTCTTTACACGTACTACCTGGGTTTATCTTTGAAACGAATTTCGGAATTCGAAGTCACATGTATTGGAGAAAAAAAAATAACGGTATGACCCCGAGCTTCTCGGAGCCCGTGAGTGACAGAAGGAATACACTGGTTCGCAGGAAGGATGAAGTTATGTGCGAAAAATTCCGAACGTGAATATGGGCATCATGGCCGCTTAACACGGAATAAATCATTCGTTCACTGCCCCTGGAGAGAATTCAGAGTGACACTTTCTGCCGCGAGACGACACGATGTGGGATACGCGAGAACGTACTTCATGCCAGATCTTAAGCAGAAAATGCTCTATACCTTCTCACTGCCCAGCCTGTTCTCCCGCGCAAAATAAAGCGGGAACTTCGAGCGCGTTTGCCGGATGTTCCGCAGGTAAAAATAGGCATAGGAAATGGACGACGCACACATCCGGCCAACCAGGGCCGACCTCGGGTCAGACGGCGGTAGTCGTGCTGCCGGTTACCTGTCCTGCGTTCGACTGCATGGTGCGAGCCACTTTGCTCAATGATCTCTTTGCTGTCGTGCGCATTCCTGTGACAGGTGAGGGACAGCGGAAACAAGACGCCGAATTTCTCAAGGCTGTCTTTACTTTTCGTCCGAGTTGCTTTAACGTGTACGTATCGTAGGTTGGCCAGTCTCCGTGATCTGTCGAATATCCCGATCACGGAATAGCAAGTCCTGACTTCTGAGAAATCGTCGCAATTCGAGTTGGTCTTTTCCAGAGAAATGATGTCTGAAGAAGACCCGCTCGAATCCGCTCTCGCTTCAAACAGAAACAATGCTCTGGAAAACTTGTGTTTTGGATACTCGAGATTTAGAGCCTAACAAACCGCAGTGGTCGCCTGTATATGCAATCTTCACTTGCGATGGTGCGATATCCATGAAACAACAGAATCACTCTCCAAGTACACTAGCTAGATTGCATCTAATCCAAATCATGTAACTTAATGATACCCCAGAATTATTGAGATATCGGTTTTTTCTGTGTGCTGATGATCTGCACTCCAACAAAGAAATTGAAGTTTGTGGGTCCCATGGAGGCGCAACACGAAGAAAGAAAAGAACACAGCGAACAGCTGTTATTCCGCCGGGTACTACTGTGTATCAGAGGGTCCCTCAAACGGGGCGGTTATTTTTCTTAATTACAGCTTTCGTCTTACATTGTTGTGTTGTCCCCTGTGTCCTTAAATTTGTCCTGGCGTTGTGTTTCTCTAACAAAAGAGGTCTTGTGTTAAAATTCCGTCTTTGATGGGAGACCGTTCTGCTACGGAAGCTTACGATGTGTCGTAAGAAGTAGAGATGTGGCATCTTTTTCGACCTCGGCAAAAAGTTCCGATTTTTGGACCGGTCACCATGTGGTCATTGTGAAAAAAAAAAACCAAGATCATATTCAAATCGTATGCGCCTTCTACAGATCAGTGCAATATATTCGAGTACTGCGTATGCAGAATCCAAGAAGCTGTCGGATAACTTTATGAGACTCGATTTCCACGCATCCTGAAATTTACTTCACTCTTCTTGGAGCAGAAATACGCTCATCATTCATTAAATTTAAGTTTAAAAAATGATAAAACAGCACTGAATGTCCAAGTTTATGCAAATCAATCTTTTCATCTGCTTGCCGAACCAGTGCTTCAATTACGAGCATGTATACGAAGTAAACACTAGACTACTATAGAGGACATAATGGAAATATTCATGGTGCAAAAATCGGGATCAACTTCTTGTGCGTCGATGAACTTTTGGCACGCTCCGACAAAATGGCTCTAACATTTGCCGGGTGGCTTTATCATCGCGTAGACCTTGAACTCAATATTTTTGTCTCGCAGACAAATTGAAACCCGGCCAACCATTTCAAGAAAAATTAGGACTTCGAAATTGCTATTACCAATTCGATAGAGACGGTAGCTGCCGGGAAGTAGAATTTTTTTATTACATCTACAAACTAAATTCTTACTGTATATAATTACAAATGATGATTTGATTTACGAGCGCGAGAAAGATTGAATAAATTGGTAACCTGCACAAATCTATTACTTTTATGTCGAGTGAAACCGATATGATCTAGAACCCGAAGCCCAGATTTAGGCCAAATTACCTTATTCTGTCACTAACGAAAGCATCATATAATTGAGGAACACGTAGTCGAATGTTATTCCTTTTTTCATGACAAGCACATCTCTTAATTGGTCGTGATTTATGGCCTCGCAGCCAGAAGACTTGATCGAACTGAATATGGAGTAGGCCACCGATTCAGACTGATCCGGTAAAAACTAAACGAAGATTTACCAACACATCGAACTGTTGGCTCGATTTCACCTGGCGACTGCGGCTAGGAGCCATACGCACTCGACCAAAAATAACCCTTGCGCTTTCCGTCTCCGATGTGTCGGAATGTCGGTGAGGCACGCAGGAATACGATGACCTAGAATGCTGTTGATGTCTCGTGTTATCATCAACATCTGTGACTCTCCACACAACGCAGTATTTTTCCGGCAGCGAAATGCTGCAGGGATTCAGAATGTCGTTCATCACATGGCATCCTTCACTTTCTCGACTAGATTTTCCGGGCAATCGAAAGAAGCTGAAAATATTACAGGAGGCAACGTTCTCGCAGTAAAATAGACTTTTGGGTTTTGGACGTCTAAATTGGTAGCCTGAACACATTTATTACTGTTATGTCTGATCTAGAACCCAAATCCCAGATTTAGGCCAAATTACCTTACAACAATTATTTATGTCCTTTTATGTCCTCGATTATGTATGTACACACATCTCGTCTGCATTGTATGTAATATACAGTGAGACCCCAAGATACGGACGTAATTTGTGTATCAAGAGTGTCTTGATGTCGGAATGTCTCTAAGTTGAGTATCATTTTCCCTTATAGACTTTGATTTTGATGAATTTAATTGGTTATCCTTTTCGTCAAAAATTAGAAATAAGTCCTTATAGAAAATTCAATAAAATGTTTTCCCTCAACTTCAAGTTATAGAAAACAACAGTTCAGAAAAAAATCTCATAGAATCTGATCTTTTCGTATCAAAAGGGGATCAAAAAGCAAAATCAAAGAATAAGTCTTGCTAGAGTATGCACAGATGATGGAAAAAAAATCTGAAAAATAAGCACAAAATCAGCTTGTTTTTGATTATGAATTAGAGTGAATTTATTATGAAATATTTTATAAATTTTTGTGAATATAAATAACTTGATTTGATCAAAAGACATTAAAATTAGAAAATTAATTGTTTCAATTATTGGGAAAATTTCAGAAAAGTGTTTCTAACTTGAGCCAATGTCAGGATGTTGGGCCTGATCTTTTTGGTTTTCATGTTTCCCGATGTTGAATTTTCCATATGCCGGGGTGTCCGCATATCAGGGTCTCACTGTAAATGATCAGTTCAAGTGGAACGTCATAAATTACCAGAAAATGGAATTAAACGAGTAATGTGAAGCATATATGTGGAATATTTAATCCACTACAAACCCTTATCAGTAACCTCTTTCAAATATTTTTGAATAAAATGAGTTCTGCAATACTCTATATTTTCGTTTAAAGATATAAAAAAGTAAGAACAGAACACTATCAAGAATATCAAAAAGCATTCATCTACATCAGTACATGAAAGGTCTTGCTGCACATCAGATTTCCACCAACAGCTTTTGTTGAGAATCAGCGGGCGGGCACATTGACGTCAGTCTACCTTCCGGTGTGGGATATAATATCCGAAGAATAAATCGAGGCAATTCGAGTCCATTACATAGTAAGTTCCTTATGCAAGGTGTTCATGATACCACTAGGACCTTTTTGTACTTATATATGTTCATATGACCTTTTAAAGTTCCAAAATCCGAACGAACACCGAAACTTTCGACCCTGCATATAAACGACCAAAACTACACTAGATCGTTGCTCTGAAGATCATTTAGGATGTCAGTCGATAAAAATTAGGCAACTCATGATAAATTTGGAAATTTTACTACTCTCCAGGTGCCACACACGTCAAGCTGTGTTTCATTGAGCGATACTCGCTAAAGCAGAATGTAACAACACAACAGGGGACACAGGAATTTAAACAGGACCGCAACACAAAGAGATTGTTTTCTCCAGAACACAATTTTAAGGCAGAAACTACCCTCTGGCAAGACGATGCCTTCGAAGCGATGTGTAGTAAGAAGTAAGAGCTGTGGCATCTTTTTCGACCTCTGCAAAAAGTTCCGATTTTTGGACCGGTCACCATGTGGTCATTGTGACAACAACAAAAAAACCCAAGATCATAATCAAATCGTATGCGCCTTCTACAGATTAGTACAATATATTCGAGTACTGCGTATGCAGAACCCAAGAAGCTGTCGGATAACTTTATGACACTCGATTTCCACGCATCCGGAAATTTACTTCACTCTTCTTGGAGCAGAAATACGTTC